TGTGTTGTTGCTATCTCCTGCAGTAATAGAACCAATATACAAAACACACTGCTTCTTGTCTTCTTACCTTTTTTCCAATAGTTATATCTGAGTATGGGTGTTATTCTAGTGCTAGTTTGTAATTATGAAAACTTGGTTATTCATCTTCCAGCTGGAATGTCATTGGCACAGTGACAGAGGCAAAAGTAATGCAAAAAAGCTGATTAAATAGTGTTACAACTACTGCAATGTATCCAAGAACAAATCTGCAACTTTCAGATCATCTGAAGTCTCTAGTTTAGGATTGTGCTAACAATCTAAACTCAAAACAGAGACACGGACTTGCTCAGGGAGTTTGCTGATGTATTTGTTGTACAAGATGGCCAATTGCATTGGAAAACAATTACATGTCATCACGTAGGTACTTGTGTCTAGTAAAACAACTGCTACTTAGTGTTCCTTGAATCACCAGGGATCTTGCCAGTGCTGAAGTTGAGTAGTTGTTGAAGGATGGAATAATAAAACTTTCAAAAGTATTAGGCCATCTCTAGTGGTGATTGCAGGAAGAAGGAAAGTACCCCAAGGTTCTGTGTTGACATTAGACAGTATCATGCTTAAATGCCTTTCCTTCATCACATACAAATGAATGTCTGGATGCGTTGAAAAGCACCAGTGATTTCATCACACTAAGTCTAATGTCTGGTTACTGATAAGTTGACCTAGATGATAAAAGTAGATCTAAGACTGTTTTCATCACCTAAGAAGGTCTGTATGAATTCTACAAAATGCCAGTCAGTCTGTGCATGCTACATTCAAGACTAATGGGGCTTACATTAGAGGACTACAATGGGAAGGCTGTCTCATCTGTGTGGGTGACATATTAGTCTGTAGGTTTACTTTTAGAGCTACAGCTGAGAGCTTCAGAATAGTATTCCAGCACAACACGGAGACAGAGCTGATATTGAAAGCAAGAAAATGTCTGCAGAACTAGTTTCAGTTTTATATAGTAGGTAGGTAGGAAAAGAGTATCCAAAGATCCTGCTAAGATAACAGTGGTCAAGAGCTGGTCCCAACTTTAGTCTAAGGGAGAAGTGTGCAGCTTTCTTGCTTTTATGTCATACTTTCAATGTTTTGTGACAGTTTCTACAAGATAGGTAGAGAACTGCCTGTGTTGGCTAAGATTGATACACAATTTGTATGAACATGGAATGTGAAGAATCTTTCAAAACTTGAGACATGCTCTGGTTCAAAGCAGTGATGCTGGTTTAACCTAATCAAAACTGTCCATTCGTCCTGGATGTTGATACCAGAGATAATGGAATTAAAGCAATTTTATCACAGGTACAGGATGGTATGAATCATTTAATCATACACGAGAGTCATATGTGACTGCTCCTTATTGCTGATACTCTATGGCAAAGAAGGAAGTGCTTGAAGTTATAGTTTTCGTCACACGTTACCACAAATACATGTATGTTATGGAGTTCATAATTCAAATAGACCATGCATCACTGAAATGACTAATGTTATTATAAAATATGTAAAGTATAATTATACAATGAATAAAGATGTAGAAAGAGTATAGCTTTTGTACAATAGTGCCCAGGTCATCAGCATAGAAATGGCAATGGATTGTCTTTTCAGTCAGTTATTTCATGTCAATTCATTTAATGTTCATATCCTGACATGATGCAGCAGTCGAAACATTGCTACAGCAGTGATGATGAAACACACAATTGGTGATAATTTATAAGGACATCATTATTAATCAGTTATGATCTTTAAGAAAAGCAGCTGAAGACCCAGATTTAGCTTTGGTGATTCTTGCAGTGTAACAAGGTGAAGTGTTACCATCACAAACTGTCAAACACATGCAATTTTTGGAACTTGTATTGACAACTATTAGTGCAGGCAGGATGGTGTGTTGTACCATCCACCAAGATGTGATAGCAAACCTGTGATAAAGGTAGTGATCCTCTAAAGCTCTAAAGGAGCTGACACTTCAAACTTTGTATAATGCAAGGAATGGAGCGTCAAGCATTGTTGTGTACGCACTAAGGCAGTTTTTCTGACTGCATTAACTTAAAAACATTGAGCAATGGAATAGAAACTACCATATGTGCTATTTATACTTAAATTTCATTGTTTTATTGCCCTTTAACTCATGTCTAGCTAATAATCCCACCTCACAAGTTGTATATAATTCTGTGAATATGTAGCTCAAGTTACCATTTTGAATTAAGTAAAACACGAGCTGCTCGCAAGCATACCCTGTGAAGAATTTGTATTTTATTTTTCATTATCTTATCTAATCTAACCTTATTTAACCTAATAAGTTTTTACTTTTTATATTATAATTACTTTTATAATAATAAATAAAGAATATACATGAAAAACAAGAAATATAGTACTTACCTCAGTCTTTTTTTTTGCTGTCGACTATTGAAGAAACTAATGGTGCTACTACACTAAATAATTTTTCATTTGATTAAATACTGCACCTAACAACACAGAATAATAACATACAAAAAGAAAGCAATATTCAATAATATAATAATTTTTTGGCTTTGTAACTATGTGATAAAAGCCTTTAAAAATTAATCTAAGCTTGTCAATGTGAATATCACGAGAGAAAGTTTCAAACTGAAAGTGAAATAGCCAGTACTCTGTATAGAAAACAACATAATATAACATATCATCTGATAGATTACAGCTTTGGCTTTCTATTGGTTATAATTATTGTAGTGTAAAATGCCAGAGAGAGTTGAGATGAGAGGATGTGACAGGTGGGTGTGGTACATAGGTCTGATTTTCTAGTTTATGGTTCCATAAATAAATAAGATTGAAGGCTATAAAAATTATACTTTGCCTTAGTAATATCTATGGTTTAATGAATAATTTACATTAAAGTTTTTACTTCTCAGAGGTGTGGTAAATAAATTAGAGAAAAAGGAATACCTAGAGAACAAATGTCACAATTTTCATACTGGGGGGATTGAGGGTTTATTTAAAATATTTCTTTATAAAATTGAGAACTTAAAACTGATATTAAAATTGAATTTATTAAATAGTTAATAAATCAAATTTTAATATTATAAAGGTTTTATTTTTTAATTTCAAAAGGAAGTATTTAAATAAATTCTCAATCTTCATTTTTCTATATCATATGACATTTGTTCACATTAAATTGTACATATTAGATAATCTTTTCACCTCTATTTATGGTTTTAAGTTTAAGTGCAAATTAATATCATAGATATTGCTGACATATAATCTATCTTTACAGCCACCATAGTGTTTTACTTGGATATAAACCAAAAGGCCCAACCCACATTCTGTATCTTCCTATCACATACTGTCTTTCAAAAAATGTCCATAATTCTTTATGACATTTGATATTAAATTATCTATAAACAACAGAAAGAGAAGATTTTAATTAATTTATATATATTTAGTGCTAGTTTATTCTTATAGTGGCTTTTGTATTATTTAGTGTGCAGATTCAAAGTAGTTAGCTCAGCTCGATCAAGTAAGGGAATTATTTTAACACACTTAATGCTTAGTTAAAAAAACAATACAGTTACATCACAATAGTTATATGATATTCTATGCTTTGTGTGTGTTATTATTTTATATTCTAATCTGAATATTAGAAATAAATAAAAATTCAGTAAACGACTAACAAAAACTATAGTGAAAAAGTAGGGATAAATTTTATAGACACTTGAGTATTTGACTGCTGAAAGTACAAGACCTACACATAAGTGCCAAGTTTTTTTTTGTATACTGTTTTATATTGTTATAAAAGTAACTAAAATGTAAAAATTAGAAACTTGTTAGGTTAGATAAGAAAACATTAATGAAAAAAGTTAAATATTTCTTCATGAGGTATGCACATGAGAAGCTTATACATTATGTAATTCAATACAGTAGGTTGAACTATGCATTTTCTGGTTGATTTCTAGCTTGTTATACAGGTTTAGTAGCTAAGACATTCTACAAAGAGCAATAGAATTAAATAAAAACAAATGTAAACTGTTACAAGCCTGAAGCTGTTTGAGATAACGAATTGCTATTATCTGTTACAATCTGCAGTCATTCTAAAGAAGAAAAAAATGTAATTTAGATTTGTATTTTTATGTGGTAGCTACAAAGTTGGTTAAACAGATTGTTCTCATATAGTGTTAGGATGAAGAAAATATTACATAAAATATAAAGTTTTACTGGAAAGAAACTTTTGATATTCACTTAGGAGGCTCTAGGAGTTATGGAAACACAGTTTGAAAGCTGTAAGGTGAAAACTAAATACTTTTAATCTTAACCTGAAAATCAACTTGCACTAAGACTAATTAGTGTTAGATAGACTCTGATTCCATAAATTCACAGATATATCTTTAGTAAAAATACTTGCACAGAAAATCAAATTTTTTAATTTCAAAAGACTTATAATGTTTTGTAAAAGCTTTCTAAATTTTGTACTACATTAAAAGTTATATATAGTTTTATGGTTATTTGGTGATTTCAAGGTTGGTCAAAATCAACAAGTATAGGGAGGGTTAAGGATGGTTTGATTACAGTTGCTTTATTCCACCTGATCACTTTTCTACAATTTAGCATATAGAAATCTCCAGCAATGATACTGCTCATTTGCTGTTTTATGTTATATTTTCATATATCATATTTGGTATATTGAGCTTTGGTGGTCATCCATTGTGTCCTTTATCAACCTTTATGAGATTAAATGTTTGGTTTACTAGATTAACTCTAGTGTTAAGTTCCACATTTCCTTGCCTATGTCAGCAGTATTCATTTGAGTAAAGCCTAATACTTGATAATTATTACAGTTTCTTAAAAATCTATGATCTCTGTTATGTGTTATTAGTATTTGTGAATCACTCCATTACATTACCTTTGTTTTCCTTTTTTTTAAGAATTATACTAAATAATAATGAGCTTTGAATATGCATGTTATTTTTACATTAATACATTTCATAAAGCAATTTTTTTTCTTGCACATGTAGATGTATTAAAATGGCTCTTGTTCATGATATGGCAGAATGCATTGTGGGTGATATAACCCCATGGTGTGGTATTAGTAAGGAAGAAAAGCACCAGCAAGAAAGGGTTAGTAAAAGTTTTATATTGTTCCATTAAAGCTAAAGATGAATTACACAAAAGAGATAATATTGAAGTTCAAGATAACTGCAAGAATTGTTATTATGATGACTGATTTTGAATTACATATAACTGATGTTTTTTGTATGTTTAAAATCTCCATTTGCATTAATTAAAGAGATATCTAGAAAAATGTTTCTCTAATATTTTACTAAATAGAAATAACAAAGTTGGATAAGTTAAATAGGATTAGAAATTATCTTTTAATAAACATTATATTGGAGATTCAAGACTATATTAAAAATAATCCTTCAGAATTTGAAAAGTTTTATTAAAGGTTAAATATTTTTCAAATTGTGGCATTAAATTTGATGTGTTGATGTTTAATTACCAATTATCTTTGTCTGTGTATATTTTTAAATTTGCATGTAAGGTGTTGCAAAGTATCCCTTGATAATTGTATGGCTTAATATATGCTGTTGTAAATCAGATGTAAATTTAATAGAAGTTGTGTTTGCTGTTAATTTGTTAACAGTAAAATAATTTTGAAAAATTCTTTGACAGTAACAAAGGCTGTTAATTAACTAGTGTGAGACAAGCCTTTATTTCTATTCATTGCTTAATCCATTAATCCATAGGCCATTGTCTTGTGTATAAATTAGGTAACCTGGTTAATAGCTGCTAATCTTAATTGAAGTCTGTTTCATTAATTTTCACTGTTGTAACTAAATTTATCTATTTATTTTTCCATCCATAAATACTGTACTTAAAGTATGGATCCTAATACAGACTTAAATATTTCTTGAAATAACATAACATAATAATGGCTGAAGACGGCTTGAATGGGTAATGAAGAAAATGTTGCAAATTGGGCTGTTGCTGCAAATGGTGTTCTTTAACAGGATAACTGAAAAAAGATTTAAGAGTGTTTCTTTCTCTTTCAAGATTTGGTTTGCACACTCTGGTGTACAGTGTGTATTAGAAAATGAGCTTGAAGTACATGTAGTTCACCTTTTTTTGTATATTTTTAGAAGAGTTTGGAAGACTTACTGTATACAGGAGCATCTCTGTCGGCTATTCAACATGGAATGGTGTGATCTGTTCAACTGTGGAGTATACATATGTTCATTCAGAATACCATGAAATTATTTTTCCAGTGACATACGGTTCATTAAAATTTTAAGTGCATGGATGACAGTTTTTATAATATGGTTGCTGTGATACCTCATCTTATGTATCATGTAATTTTTAGGAATGGATACTTGCACACTGTACAAGTTATATTACATGCAGAAACTGATAAAAGTGAATTTGCTGTTGAAGAATCTTATATAAAACAGCTGTTATTGCTGTTATAATACATTATATTTATAATGGTAGATTGAATGAAACAAAAACTTCAAGCTGTTCTCTTAAATGTTTCTGAAGATTTCTTGGACATATCTTGGTATACTGTATTGTTTTCACAAAATCTTGATATTCAGGATTTTCTACCTGTTAGTTCAGTTTCTGACTGAATTTCTGTTTTTAAGCAGTGAGAAGTTGATCATCATATTTCAATCATATGTTGCAGAATTGTATAATTTATTTATCTTGTGGCCCATGGACTGCACCAGTTATGTTGTTACATAAAAATGTATAGGAAAACAATAGGTTTTTGAATGGACATTGTGAAAGCTTAGGGCTTATCTCTGTAAGTTGAAGCCATGGATTAAAGTTTTGACAGTAATATACCTTTGAGTAGTAGCTTCACAGTTGAATTGTGATTTATATGTGATAGATGGTTATTACTTGTTTAGAATTTCTTCAATTTACTCTAGGATGCCATGGACAAGCTCTGTAAACTAGCAGGAGGTCAAACTGGTCAGGAAATACTGGAGTTGTGGGAGGTAAGACTTGTTGTTACATATAATAGTTCTGAACAAAATGAGGAAAAAAGTCCAAACTTCAACTTCATTTCTCAGCTCTACTTCATAGTTCATTCATAAGACTTGCTCTTCATTGCAACAAACATTGAAATTATCTTTGATTTGACTACCAGATTTTTTTTACTCCTATATAATCTTCTGAGTTTGACATAAATTACATAATTTTAGTATAGATATTGCTAATGCATAAATTTATGGCCTCCATTTTTCCAACCCATATGCCACATCTTCAGTCACATTCTGTCTTTCAAAATATCTCATTAATTCTTTCTGGCATTTGCTATTGGATTACTTATAATCAATAGAAAGAAAAGATTTTAATTTACTGAATTCAGCATAGACTAGCTTGTTCTGATGGAACTTTTGAAATATTTTGGCTACAGATCACCTCAACCAGTGCAACATAACAGAATTATTTCAACTTGCTTGAAGCTTTGTTACAAAGGCAGTTAAATTATCATAGTTTTAGGACATTGTATGTTTTGTGCATGTTATTATTTTGTGTTCTAACTTGAATATTTGAAATATATAAAAATTCAGTAACATATTACCAACAACCTTGCCAAAAAGTAAAATGTTAACTTTTCTTAAGATTCGAACAGCAAAACCTTGAAAAGTACATGTAAGTACTAAATTTCTTGTTCTTTTTGTATATTTTATCTTATTGTTATAATAGTAACCAAAATATGAAAATTAGAAACTTATTAAGTTAGGTAAGAAAACTTAAAGGAAAAAAAAAATTAAATAAAACCTTATGATAACATGCATACGTCATTTATTTATAGCTGTCCTGGTGGGATAGATTTTTTTGCCATTTCTAAGTTCAGCAATAAATATAAATGATTTGGAGATTTCGAAAATATTAGCTTAGGCTGTGAAATTAAATAATGTTTTATTATCTGTTACAATATGGGGTCATCCTGGAAAGAAAAAGGGGTAATGTTACGTCTCTGTTCGTTTGTTAATTTCCCATAAAAATTCTTTCCGAAGAACTTCAGCGACACAAGTCCTTTCTTAAATAAAACTAATTTATTCTTTCTCAATACAACTTTGCAATACACTTAATTTCCACAGTCACTTTAACTTAGACACATGCTATAATTCACAACGATTCACGTACTTTACTTATGACTTGGCTCGATTATCTGCCTCTATATCTCCCTATCTGCTCTTATCTATGCCATTACTTCTCCTCTCCACTTTATTTGCCGGGTTTATATACTAAAATAGAGGGCGTGTAAAAAAGACTAGAGTTGCCAGGAAGAGTCATGATCCTTCTAGAAACTTAACACGTGTTGCCAGCATCATGTGACTTCTGCTGTCGTAACAGTAATTTAGATTTATTTCATATTTCTCAACTTTTTTATTTTACCCTACATTGCTGATTTCACTACACTTAGTGTTAGGGTATAAAAAATAACAAACACAATATAAAGTTTAACTGAAAAAACAATTGATATTCATTTAGGAAATTCTAGAGGTTCAAATGAAATATGAAAACTGTAAGATAAAAAAAAATATTTTTATTCTTAACGTCAAAATAAACCTGCACTCACTGACTCAGTAAAAACTTTATAAATTCAGAAACAAATTTTTGATAAAAATATCATTTAAAAAAACAGATATTTTTTTACAACAAACTTGTAATGGTTACTAAAACCTTGACAACTATCATGAAGATACATTTAGTAAATTCAGAGTCATAGCATGCATATTTTCATGGTAATGCTGTGGCTACAAGGTTTATCAAAATGACCAAATTCGTGTGGGAAACATTAGCAGTGAAAAAGCTTTGGTGCAGTTTTGTTATGTGGACCAAATTAATTATTTCATAATTCTTGTCAGTACCTGAGTATTTGCAAGAAGAAAAAAGCTGTTTTGTAGCCTTTCATGCTTACTAGGTCTTACACTTAATTCCAGATGTATTACCTTGTATATACAGAGAATGGAGTGCATTATATTAAAATGATTTTGGAGCTTCACCTTATAATTACAGTCCATATTTCCACATTTAATCATACCAGTAGTCTTATTTCTTTTATTCTTTGAATATTCAACATAAAAATGTATAAGGAAATATGATGATTATTGAAAAAAATTTCCAAACCAGCTTGACAGAATATGAGGACTAAACTAAATCCTTTGGCTTTCTTGGCTGATGCACCTCTGACAAGTACTTATATTCACACTTGACTTATCATACATGAACATCTTTGTACTCAGCTATACTGAACACCACTATTACATTAAAAAATACATATATACAATATGTCAAGTTTGTCAGACTTTTTACTTACAGATGGTTTACTACATGCGCTAGATGTAGAAGCGGCATATTTTTATTGGTTAGTAAGCAACTCATGAACAAAGGAATGTGTTAATATACACAGCTGTTTCATTTAAATTTAATACAAGAGTTGTGATTTAGATAGTTATAAAGCATAGGTGTTAAATTTAATGTTTTAGAAGCAATACTTTATCACAAGTTTGTTTATGAATCAATTGTTGCATAGTTTAATTGTTGTGAATTGATATCACATTACTCGAACCTTCTGAATATTTTTCCTTGCTTGTTACATCATATTGTCTCATAGTTTTTAGAAAGCTCTAAAAGCATAATTTTTATAGCCTTCAATCTTATTTTACTACAGAGCCATAAAATATAACATCAGATCCCTTTTGTCACACCCATCTGTGACATCCTCTCTTTCAGAAATTGCTATTAGTTCTCTATGAAGTTTAATACTATATTTCTGTGTTGTGTGAAGATACACAAAACATATTAGAAGTTATAGTATGGAAACTCTAAAGGACAATTTCACCAAGCCCATAGTGAAAGAGATAAAGATGTACACCTACTGTACTTTAGCCTAATGCACATATCATCATCCACTACAGCATCTATAAATTGACCACATGCCAGTGAATCCATCATTTCATATAGAACATCTGGATATGGCAATTGGGTAAGTCTTTCCACATCTTTAGCTATGGTCTCGTACTTTCTCTGGTCAGCCTCCTTAATGTTCCGTTAGAAACTTCCTTCTGATGTGACGCTCCAAATCTGTTTGATAAAGGGTCCACTTGTGTCTGGTAGTTATCAGAGCTTTTTTTAGAAAGATTACTCAATGTAGTTAAAGCTGGCTTTTTTAAATGAGCAGCATAATTAACACTTTAACTATGGGCATCTTTCTCTGCACCTGTCACAAGGTTTTAGTGAGTTACATTCAAAATGTAATTAAACTACTTTCTTATCATGGTATAAGAATAAATTTGACATAAAACCATAGCTAATAACCTAAATTTTAATTCTGTATAAGATTTAAGTTTTTAGTTTTATATGACAATATAAAAAACATCTTGAATTTCCACTACTATGAGAATTGTAACATTTTCTCTCTCTCTAGCCATCCTCTCTTCTCTAATTTATTTATTACCTTTCCAAGAAGTACAAAATTTAATGTAATCTATTCATTGTGATATTATCATTACTCAGGCAGAGCATAATATTTATAATGATGAAAGTCTTCCGGATATATCCGGAAATCCGGATATTTCTAAAAAATCCTGAGAACCTCCGGTTTTCTTTCTGAGAAACACATTTTTTAAAATTATTTATCGGATTTTGGTGTTCCATGCCATAGATAAGTGTTTATACAATCGCGCGGTTTGTTTACATTCGGCAACAGGGTGCCGCCATTTCGTAGTCTCGCAATGCTTGCTGGCGTGTACGATACCTTGTATGCTTATAATGCAAACTTCATGTCATGTGAACGAGATTTTATCTCGAAAACATGCTTTAGAAAACGCGGTCATTCTTTTGTGTACCTTTCTATTGAGCGAGACAATTGAAGAGCCTTATCTATTCAAAGGTGTTTACTGAAGCGATAATAGATCAAATGAAGTGTACAAACAAATAGATAGGTCAGCGGATATCAGTAGCATAGAAGGAAAGATAAAGAACAAGTTCAAATGGTCGTGGCTGGAGGAAAAGGATGTAAATGGTGACTTTTTATCGGACTTTTTGAGGAAAGTGGACAGGCCAGGATATGCACTGTGCACGTGGTTAGTAAATTTTACTTTATAGATCTATTAAAGTTTATAATCATTTCTTGTACTGGAGTTTTAGAAAATCGTTAATAATTTCTTAATTATCACTCAATGACGTGACTGATCAAGACGGCAAATCAAAGGATCAGTATTTGAGAGAAGTCTCAAGAATACAGACAGATCCAACCCTACCTGGGATAAATGACAGCACCCGATTGGATCACTGGTGGAGAGAGGTTACGCCTTGCTATCCAGCTCTTGGGAAGGTAGTAAGAGCTTGTCTTAGTATTTTCACTGGACCCAAAATAGAACAGTCATTTAGCATTATGAATGACCTCATTGATGCTAAATCAAACAGGATGGCTGTGCAGACATATTCGTCATTTCAGAGCCTGAAATATGATTTAAAAGCACAGAACACTAGCAGCCTTGGTCATTACCATAGGGAGGATGTCCTAAGAGATCCTGTGGACAAGAGTGTGTACTACCACATCCAGACAGCCTATGGCAGATATGCTAAAAAACTGAGGGAGAGGAAAGAAGAAAAAGCACTGCCAAATCCAACACTTTCTAAACATGGATCAAAACAATCAGTGCACACAATTGCTAAAAACATTAAAAAAGCAATATGGTCAAAGAGGGGAGCTAGCAAGAGAAAACGAAAC